AGTTTTTCATAACTATAGGATTTTCTATATTTATTAAAAAAAATCTGGCACATGAGAAAATATCAAATTGTGCTATTCCACCTCCATATGTGCCAGTTATCTATAAATATAGAAATGCAATAATTATCACTAAAACTGTTACTTGTTAAATTTTCAAAAACAGATAAATTATGAATATGAATTTGAAAGATAGTTTAAGGAGTTAAGAAATGAATAAGGACCTAGAATCATTGACACCTTAACTCGGATGGGACCGGAAGCCCTCCTACTCCAGAGGGATTGCGTGAATCCAAGTGGTTTTAAGCCTCTGCTTAACCACCCCCGGACAGCATGCTCACTACCTATAAAGATGCTTATTCAGGGCTGGGTCACTCTGTTGATTGACAAAGCCTTCCTTATGTTTATGCATAAGGAAGTGTTATGTCTGCGAACACTCATGCCACCAGGTCTCAAGCCACCACTATCTATCAGACATCAAGTCGGCAGCACTTGACTCCTTCTCTCGTGGAATTCACACAACCTTGTGAAATGCTCACGTATTCACACTAGACACACTAATGAAGGTGCCAACATGACACAGTAAGTGGCTAGACCCGCCTGTCTCCCAGGTTCCCACCTCTGCACAGCAGGCTTGCTGTCACAGGTGGTATTGGTGACACTTTGGCCTACCAGGGTAGCATAGGGCCTCCTCAGACACACAGTAGACACCTATCCTGCCTTTAGAAATATTCTCCAAGATCAATATTCTTGAGACTGCATCATTTTGTGTATATGATAAAATTTGGTTTCTTCCTATCTATCAAGAACTCTCCTATTTCTAAATTGTCAATGTTTGGCTTCGAGCAGAACCAGATATGATCCTCCAGGAGGAATCTGAAGAGCAGATTGGATACTGGAGCCCCATTGAGGCAAACTTGAAATTTTTACTGACAACCAACCCTGCATAACTATCAACTATAATCGTCTTTAGAGTCAGCAAAGGCCCAAGTCATTCTTGTTTTACACCCTCCATCAAAAACCTCCTCTCAGTCTAGAAAAATTGTCTGTGTGATGCACAGAGGAAGTGTTCACTTCTTATCCGCTCCCCTCCTTATCTGTGGCATTTGGCCTAAAGTGTACTTGACCCAGACCAATTAAATTCCTGTCTAGCAATTTTGTTTGTTTATTTCAGTGCTGAGGATTCCAGGCCTTGTGCATGCTAGGCAAGCCCTGTACCGCTGAGCTACACACACGCGCGCACACACACACACCCTTTCTTAGATTTGACTTTGAGAAAGGATCTTGCTATATTGCCCAGGCTGACCTTGAACTTGACATCATCCTGCCTATTCCTATTCCAGTAGCTGGGATTACAGGATTGCACTACCATGCCCATCCCTGGAAATTTATTAACAGAGGCAAGAGAATTGTTTCCTTCATTTTGACTAACCTAGAAACATGTGAATCTGAAAATTGCTAAGAGGCCAGAGTTCTTCCCCTGTGAAGAAACCTAACAAATGCAAAAAAAAAAAAAACAAAAAAAGAATCAGAAATGAGACAAGTTGAGAGGGTCCCAGCAGCCCCCATTCTGCGGCACCCATGATTTGCATACAAGAGCCAAAAAACAGCTGAGCACCATGGTGCATGCCTGCAATCCCAGTGGCTTGAGAGGCTGAGGCAGGAGGATCGTGAGTTTAAAGCCAGTCTCAGCAAAAGCGAAGCACTAAGCAACTCCTGACTATTTACAATAAAAAATTGGGCTGGGGATGTGGCTCAGTGACTGAGGGCCCCTGAATTCAATCCCTGCTTAAAAAAAGAAGAGCCAACAACAACAACAACAAAAACTTCCTCTTTTTGTACCCAAACAATCAAAGTTAAGTTTCTGTCACTTGCAACACCATAAGTCCTGAAAAACTGATGCCACCAAGTCTCTGCTTAAGCAGTTAGGGGATTCAGGCATTCAAATTCTTGGCTTAACAATTCAAGTCATGTTTCCAGCTCATGGAAATATTTTGGGATCCTAAAATCATGCTATGTGTTATGCTTTCCAGTTTTATGTTGTCCTCAGATTTGATCACCGAGTGAGATGACCAACATTCAAATCACTAACCAGAACTGCGTCATGGGGCCAGGCTGTAGCTTCTCTGTGGGAGTTGACTGGTCTGTCAGCAGCCTTCCCACAGTTTAGTGGCTCAGGCAAGAGCCGGGCTCAAGTGCTGGTGTTACTGGTTAGTCTTGAGTTCAGCTCCTGGCACCCCAACATGATCCTTCTTCCCTGGGTTTCGGTATTCCCATCCCTGAAGTACCTTCCAGGATTGTAAAACATCATGGAAACAAATGACAATGTAATTCATATATGTCAAGCTGTGGGTTGAATAGAAAGAGAGGGGAAGTTTAAGACTTGGACAGATGTAGTTCTCATTTATAGATGAAGAATCTGAGCTTGAGAGACTTGGCTTTCATCATTCAGTTGGAGAAGTATTTGAGCTTTTTATTTTTAAATAATGAATGTGAAGAATTAAAAAGCTTTTCAGTATCTATTGAAATGATCAGATGGTTTTCCTTATTCAGCTATGTGCTTTTTCAGTAAAGGAAAATGATTCTGCTTTAATAATGCTAGACCTGGGCTGACTTAGATGATATAATACCTGGGCCTGGGGAAGGGGAATGGAGAGTTGGTGGATGGTACCACCCACCCACAATGAATAAACAAAGCTAAACCTTATACATTTCAGAATTGCACAGTGTCAACACTCTTGTTTTTTTCCTCTTATGCACAGGGGGGTGCGGGGGGAATGAATGAACTTTGCAGAGAGATAAAACTCAAGCACAAATCATTCCACTTTCCTCACCTGAATGCTTGTATGACAATGTCTACTTCACAAGACTGTCATGAGACCTAAGTAGTTACAGTGACTAACGAATATTGCCTATTATAGGCACACATAGCAATTTCTCAATAAACATGAGTCCCTTTACCTTCCTACTTTATTTCTTCTTCTGATAATATGTAAAAAAATATTTTGGAAAAGTAGGAATAATTAATTTAAGATTTTAAACTTTATGAATGGATCAACAGAATGTGACATATGTGTACAAGGGAAAATTATTCAGCCTCAAGAAGCAAGGAAATTCTGACACATGCTACCTCAAGGATAAACCTCAAAGACATTACGCTATATGAAATCAAACAGAAAAGGACAAATGTTGTATGATTGCACTTACATGAGGCCCCTAGAGGAATCAAATTCATAAAGACAGACACCAGGATGGTGCTTTCCAGGGGCTGAGAGAAGGGGCCACTGAGAAGTTACAGTTTAATAGGTCCAGAATTCAGCTGAGCGGATGAAAACATCCTGGAGGTGGGCGGTGCATCGGGTATGCAATGTGAGTCTACTTAATGCCACTGCACTGTACACTTACTTAGTAGCAGTTAAAGTAGTGAATTTTATGTTACATGTATTTCATTAAAAATCACCACATAAAAAAATTAAACTCAGTGGTGGTGCTGATTGTTGTCAATTCCAAATTAAAATTTTAATCTGAAGATTTCCAAGCCGTATCCCCCACCCCATCTGTAAAATCCCAGAAAGCCCAAGGTCAGTGTTGGTAGGGTCCCGGGAGCCTGCTCTTGGGTGGAGCATGAGTGCGCAGGTGGCCACTCTGAGGAGGTGGTGGCTTCATCGGGGCCAGGAGCCTGCACCTTGCTGTGGCCCTCCGAGGCCTTGGCTTCCTGGGTTCAGCCATTCTGGGGCTGCAGCCTTCAGCTCCCACTGAAGTCTCCCTCCTGAAACTGAGCCTGAGCCCAAGAGACAATGGAAACAGCAAGTATCATCTTTTGAATTTTCTCATTCGATTTACTCAAATTTTACATTTGAAATAATATTTCTATCATCATAATAAAAAGTCACGTCAGCTTACACCTCAATGCCAAGGAAAAATCGTACTAGGCAAGCTGAGCGCTGAGGCTCCTGGTGATCGCCATGTCCTATCTGTCAACTCTGAGTGCTCCCTACCTATGCTATTCAGTCAGCATTTGTCATCTGGGGCTGTATGACATATCTTTTTTTGTTGTCATTGTTGTCTTGTATTGTCATCTGTCACTGAGTCAGATTCAGAGAATTCACTAACAAAATTTGACATCATCATTACCTGCGGGCTGATTGAGCACCCCTTGGCTACCGAAGAAAAACACATGCCGACTTCTTCTCTTATCGTTCAGCATATTTTCTCTGGATTTGCTGTCTAAACAGTATGATCTAAATTGCCACTTATATTTGAAATCTCTAGCTCCTCTCTCCATACAATGGCCAGAAGTATCTACTTAAAATAACGTCTGGTCACGCCACACCTGCGCTCAATCGACCACTCATATAGTTGTTTAGGACACATTTTCTGAGCAACTACTAGGTGGAATGTGTGCCAGGCCATGAGCTTGTGGTTGGAGACAGAGATGCAGGATATATCTCCTCTTCTAGAAACTCATCATCTAGCATAGACACAAACACGACACCAATTGCGATATGATATGATCAAGGTGCAAATTGAAGCGAGCTCACAGCACTCCAAGACATAAAGGAACAGGTGTCAGGGCTTAGAGAAGACTTCACAGAAAAGGTCCCTTCCCACAGGAGATGCCTGACGCTGGGAATCTCCATTTCTTCCTTTGGACTTGAGTGTTAGACAGTTATAATCAGGTGTCACTTTCAGTGTCAACCAGAAAAACATCCTCAAAAGTCAACATTTTTGAGACAACTCATAATCTGGAAGAAGATATTTGCCATATACACTTGACTAAGGACTCTTGGAATAAATACATGCAGCATTGCTACAAATCCACAAGGAAACAACAAACAATCCAATTTTTCAAAACGAGCAAAACATTTGAATAGGCACTTCATAGAATACTGTCTATCCAAAGAGTCAAAAAGCACATGAAAACATACTTAATACAAAACGTGTGTATTCATCAAAAAGTGCAAATTAAGGTCTGGGGCTGGGGCTTAGCAGTAGCGCACTTACCTAGCATGTGTGAGGCACTGGGTTCGATTCTCAGCACTGCATAAAAATACACGAAATAAAGGTCAATCAACAACTAGGAAAAATATTTTTTTAAAAAATGCAAATTAAAACCCTAAGCATGGCTAAAATTTAAAAGTGTAAAAACACTAAATATTGGTTTAAAAATATATATATCTGGATCACAACTCCATTATTGAAAGAAATATAAATAATTACAAATGCTGGGAAATTTTTGGCTGTGTAAAAGACCATAAGAATGTTTGTAACAGTGTCTTCATAAAATCCAAGAAATGGAAACAACTGACATGTCTAGTAGTCAGATGGGTAAACACACTATGGTGTAGTCACACAATGGAATACACACTAAACAGCAGTAGGAAAGAGCAAATAAACCACACATGGCATCATGGATGAATCTTACAAATACAAAGTTGAATCAGAGAAAAAAAAAAGCAAAATGCAAAATAATTTTAGAAAACAGGCAAACAAATCTATGGTGAAAAGAGTGTGAAATACTGGTGAACTTTAGCAGGTACTTACTGGGAAAATCAGGTGGTTTAGTCAGCTTTTTCACGGCTGTGACTTAAAGACCTGACCAAAACAACTGTAGAGGAGTAAAAGTTGATTTAAGGGCTCACGGTTTCAGAGGTCTCAGTCCATAGACAGCCAGCTCCACTCCCCAGGGGCTCCGTGTCCGGATGAGGCAGAACATCATGGCGAGAGAGTATGGCAGAGGAAAGCAGTTCACAAGACGATCAGAAAGCAGAGAAAGAGGTTTCCACTCCCAGATACAAGTTATATACCCCACAGCCATGCCCCCATGAATCACTTCCTCCAGCCACACCCCACCTGCATCCAGTTACCACTCATTAATCACTAATTCACTGATTAGGGTAGGGCTATAACCCAATCATTTCTCCTCCAAACCTTCTTAAATTGTCTCACATGTGAGCTTTTAGGGGACACCTCACATCCAAACCATAACAGCAGGAGTGAGTGTTTCGAGATACTTGTGTGAGGGGTGGGAGGTATCCATCAAGATACACACTGAATACGTGTGCACTTTATTCTCTATATATTAGTCCTTATTAAAAACAATTTTTAAATGCTTACAACAATTGAGTCCCCGGTGTGTAAGTGGACCCTGCGCTCTTTGCCAGAGTCTCCACATCTGGTCCAATGCCCCATCTGGGACTGGAAAGGCTCATCTGTTCATAGCTGGTTGTGAGAGTTTGTATCTAATAATCCACTTTATTTTCTACATTCACAATGAAATCCTTAAGCTACTCCAAAGGATGGCCTCGATGGCCAACTGTTTCCCGGATGGAAGCAAAATTGGAAGAGGGCAGCTTGGGCAGGGAGAGCGTCTTCCCAGCCCACAGGAAGGACACCCTGTTCTGTACCACACAGTTCCTTGCATATTTCAAACATTGGGCATCAAGACAGGGGACAAGGCCCAAATTTCCTCTTATAAAGTAATACTGCAGCCAAATGGAGTTGGACCAAAGTTTGTTACAGGAATTCTAGGTCTCTGACCAGCAATGGTTGAATGGTCTCCATCTTCTTAATTGAATGTGAAAATATCTGTAAATCTGAAATACTGCTGCAGTGTCTCCAAGAAGGGTTCCTCGCTTAAAAGTAGTCATTATTGATTGGGCTGTGTCAATTCCAAGGCCTTACAGATCCAATTAGAACAGTAAGAGCTGAGGACAGAGTTTTGTGGTGACATTACTGCCTCAAGGGACTTTCTCATCTGCATTGACTGAGTCAATGTAAGATAAAAGCATTGAGTTCAAAGGATCTGAAAGCATCCGGACAGAAACATCACAGGAGAATTGAACGAGCCTGTATCCCATAAGGAAGTGTCTCCCTCTAGTCTCTGCTGAGCACCCGCAGGACAATATGAATGTCCTGTGTCAGACATCTGTTTTCCATGGATGTCCTTAAATCTTCGAATTTGGATGTGGATAAAATATCAAAGACAGAAAGGAATCGTGTTTCCAATCATTCTATATTTTATCCTAGTTTGAATTGCCTTCCCATTGAGACAGGAAAGCCTGCACCTCAGAAGGACTCCAACACCCACCTCAGGCCAGGTGGACCACCCGGAGGTGGACCCTGGTTTTGATACAAAACCACGAGAAAGACAAATGTGAATACTAGCTATTTATACGTTTAAACATTATTGGACCTGATAGTACACAAAGCCAAAGGGAATGTGAAGATTTTAGTTGTTCAATTATGTTAAGCATTAGTCTTATCCAATCAAATAAAATGTTGCTCTTGAGGTGAACAATAAACCTTATATCCTCTGATGCTCTCTTTGCTACTTAGGCCACCAAAACAAGAGGGGTCAGAATATTTGGTGTGGTGACCTTAGGAAAACCGTGCAATACAGTTTGTCTTTGTGTCCCTGAATGTCTTCTATTTTTTTCCCCTCTTTACTGACCCAGATTCGTTTTCTTATGTATCATTCCAGTCCCTTCCCCAAAAGATTAATAAAAAATTTTCCAAGTTTATCAACTGAGCATCACCACAGAGGAGCCAATCAGCTAGATGTTGCTGGGGCCGCTGTGAGCCAATCATCAGCCGGCAGCTGGAAGTTTGCTGGCAGCTGGAAGTTTGCTGGCAGCTGGAAGTTTGCTGAGGCCCCTTCGGCTGTGGCTCTCAACACACTACCAAGGTGAATTTTTAATCTAAAAAGATAATAGCTAAAGACTTAACTTGCCTGATGGGAATATCTGAATTTCCCAAGAGCTTAGTGGACCCCCAGGGCTCTGACCCTCCAGACAACTATCCATGAGTCTGCTCTTTGGGGTCTTCTCTGATGAGGCTGGTCACACCCCGTCTCTGCCTCCCAAAATCTTGGGTGAAGTCTGAATTTTCAGTCTCTACCAGAAGGGATGATGAACCTGGACTAAAGTAACTTGAATAATAAATGTTACAACAAGAGGTTAATGGAGACAAGCTGAGACTCAGGACACTGCATACTTAGAATACTTCTGTAGCAAAATTCCAGAGTTAGAATTTCCAGAGTGTTCCTAATATCAGTTTGCAGGAAAATAACAAGAATAGATTAAGGTACAAAGAGAGAACATGAATGCACCTCGTGATTCTGTACTAGCCCAGAAGCTGGGCTGTCCGTGGCCTTCTGGTCCTCTTGCAAAACTGGCCAACCCATCTATGTATCCCAGGGTTGGAATTCATTCTTTTGTCTTCTCTAATTACAGAATTGGTGGTGGCTTGAAGATAATTTGGATGGGAAGTGCCAGTTCATCTCTGTCCGATTTTTGAATTCTCTAGAGGAAAGGGGAAACGCGCATCTCTCGTCTGGAAACTCCACCTCCTGGAGCTGTCCTCTGCTGCCTGCGAGGCTCTTGCATGCCAAGACCCAAGCCAGCTTCTGTGGAGAGTGAGTTCAGTTTGGGATAGCTGGAATTCAGAAGACCCGAAGACACAGAAAAATTCTAGCTAGAAGTTCAGGCTTGGGTGAAACTGTTTAGAGAACCTGTAACCTGTAAAGAGAGTTGGCCTGAGGATGGTTCCCAGGGAATCTTAAATGGAAGATAAAGGAAAAGCCAGATAAAGGATAAGCCAGGTAATTAGGAGCTGATCACCCTTGACCTTTCCCAGAGCAATTTCCACAAAAAAGGGTGGGGTGGGGGCAGCGAAGCTGAATCAAACCGTAGTGATGAGCCATGTGTTTGCTAGAAGGAGTTTTGAAATGATAACAGTTGAGGGAGACACAGAAGTTTTTGTAGGATAGATTTTTCTCCTAAGATAAAGGCATTCTAGGTGTATTTGTAGCCAGGAGGGGAAGGAGCCCGTGGAGGGAAAGTAATGGAAGATTTAAGAAAAAGTGAGAATAATTGATGCAGTAGACCCTTTGGAAAAACAAAAGAAAATAAGGTCAAGAATTCAAAAGTACCAGGGTTAGCCTGAAAAAAAATAAAAATAAAAATTATAGGGAAGGATGGGGAAGAAAACCCAGTAAACCAATCTGATGAATCAGAGGGCAGGAGGAAGACAGAAACTCTCCTCATGAATTCAGTAGCAGAGGGGAAGCAAGAAGAGATCAGCAGGTTCACTGCTCAGACTTTCTCACTGGAAGGAAGAGCAAGTGTTTTGAATCAAGAGTTGAAAATTGGGCTGGGGACCTAAAGTGCTAGCTTCTCTGTCCCATCCCCACTACCACAAAAATTAAATAAGTTTAAATTAAAATAAAAAATTTAAAAACAAATAGGAAATTGATTGGACATTAATATACGAATGAGCATACCACATGGCCCAGTTCCATCTTACCAACGGAAAGGTCAATGTCAATGTTAATTTAGCGAGTTTCTCCAAAGCCAGGCTCGGTGTATGGAATACACTATCAGAACACAGATCGGACCTTGTACAAAGTCATGGCGGGTTACTCGTCCTGATTATTTGGTGACTTTAATTAGAGTTTTTCCACTGCTGAGTATGTGTTTGCAACATTAAGCACTTTTTCTATTCTTTTTTATCTTGTGTTAATATTTTCCCCTTTTTAACATGCTGTTTTACATAGCTTTTCATTGACCATCTCTCTGCAAGCCGCAAACTCTAGGATTGCTGTTGAAAATCAATAGACTCAGGGAGAAAAGAGAAAAGTGGGGCCAGAAACAATCCTCTTATCTCAGATTTTCTGCCTTTCTCCATCCTTACCCTTGAAACCTCCCCTCCGACCCCCGCAGAGGTGAAGAAAATGGGAATGGTCTGAAGGGAAGGGAGTCTCCTGCCTGGTCTTTCCTCTCCATCTCTGTCTCCCACCTTTGAACCTGTCTGCTGTCTACTGAACACAGTGTTGTTTCCATGAGGTCTTGTTAAGGGGTGTAATGTAACACAGCAGCTTTGGGGCGGTGACACTGACCTTGCAAATATACAATCTCCAAAATCAAAATAATGATTTGGGCTCAAGAAATGACACTGGGCAGTGCCAAGTTGCTGTCCTTCCCCATCCACAAGCTGAATCATTTAACTCCCCCATAGTGTGCCCCCCCCATCTGCAAGTGGCCCCTAGAAGGCCATGGCTTACAGTGCAACTGCTGACCTCCCAAGCCCACCTCCCCTCAGGCCTGGGTTGACATCTCTGGGACCTGCCATTTTTCTCTACAGGGTTAGTTGCCTTTTGTGACAACTAAATTCACGGGAAGAAGATTCAAAATCATTTCGGTGGCAGCCAGCTTCTGAAATTTTCCAAATGTACTTTTTTAGCTATTTCCCTTAAGCCATATGATGTCATTTGCCTCTCAATCCCTGAGTGCCAAAAATTCTGCTTTCATATCTCTGAAATTTGCCAAACTATAAAAACCTCAGATCTCAGTTTGGGTTTTTATCCCCTCGCCAAAAAGGCAAAAATTACTTTCTACTCTTTTCAAAGTAAAAATATCAGCCACCAAAAAAAAAAAAAGTACTCAGTTCACAAATCTGTTAAATCTCTTACCATGTTTCCCCCTGTTCGGGCTAATGGGCTGCCCTAATTTTATTCAGAATTTTCATTTTAATAGCTTGTCATGTGTTGCTTCGGGACATACCGAAAAATCCTGAAGCACCTGACTTGACAGGTAACCAGGAAACAGATTCTTCAAATGCAGCTTTCCTTTGCTTTAGGACGTATTCATTAGCGATTTTTGAAGTTAGAACATTTTCCCACTGATTTGGAAGTTTTCATAGATTCTTGGTGTGTATTTACCGAAGCTTTTTAGTTCACCTAAGAAGGAAATAGAGATAAAGAGAGAGAAAGCCTGCTTCCCTTTCTAATTACAGTCTCATTTCCTTAGCAAGTCCTTGATAAAAGAACTCCCCAAGTCCCTAATCATCTCTCTTGTCGTAATCTCCATAACTGTGTCCCTTCCAGATTCCTTCTTGGCAGAGCTCAGAGACTGCTTTGCTCCATGTGGTTAAAAACCTTTTATTTCATGCCAGTCAGGACGCGTTCCCACAGCTGGCCTCCCCGGGCCTGGGTGCTCCTTTGGATGCGATCGATCACTGCAGGCTTCTTTCAGATCCCCAATGACTGATTGTCATCCTTGCTCCATCTTTTCAATCTCAGGACCGACTCAACTCCACCTGACAGGATTATGATGACAGGGCTCCACCAGGTCCCCTCCTCCTCTCCCGTGTTCCTTTTCCCGTTTAGTTGATTAGTTCAGTATAAAATTGTCTCTCTCCCCTTACCATGTCAAATAAAAAGTTGGGATTCGGTGATCATTATCCATCTGCCAACTAGGGGTTCTAGGCCTTCAGCAAGTCCCACCCCCGCCCCACTTCCTCCAGCACCCCAGTGAATGCTTGGGGATGTCTGGAGACATTTTGGTCCTCATGACTCAGGGGGAGGGCTATGAATGGCACCTGGTGGCTAGAGACCAGGGATGCTACTTAGAACTCCGAAATACACAGGACAGACCCCACAAGAAAGAATTATCTGGCCTCGAATGTCAAAAGCCAGGAAGTTGAAATGAACCATGTGCTTAGATGAACCATCACCCAAACACCACAATGAGCCACCAGATTGTTCCTTGGATATCTTCAGGTCCCCATGCTCTAGAAAACGGTCTGGCCCATTATCATTGTCTGTTAGTAAGCCTTTGTTACTTAACTGAGAAACCCTTTCTTGGCAAACTAATGATCAGCAGTCTTTAACAGCAGAACTCTACCACCATGTCACCGACAGTGACACTGACTTCTTCCAGGGACAGATGATACCCCTTCTTCCTTGCTCTGTCCTTGCTGAAGGTAAGAAAATAGGGCAGGGGGGACACCTACTCTTCTATACCAGGTATCAAAGGCCTTAACACCCACCCTCCAAGCTCTGGGATGGGAAGCCAGCCCACGGGAGGGGCACTCACTTCCTGTGGACTCCTGGCTCCACTGGGGGATCCTACCAAAGACCTCTGGGATGGTAATGAGATCCCCTTACAACTAGATTAGGGTCCCAATAATGGGGGAGGCTGAATTCTAACTATCTGCTGAGCAGTGTCTCTAGGGAGATGGGAGCAGCTGGTGGGAATGGAAAGCCCAGGTCAGTGTCTGGGACAGAGGCTTAGGAATAGCCAGGCATGATGGCCACACCTGGGATCCCAGCCATTCCATAGACTGAGGCAGGAGGGTTAGAAGTTCAAGGCCAGCCTCAGCAGTGAACCCTGTCTCAAAAAATAAAAAGGAGTGCGCTGTAGCTCAGTGGAAAAGCACCCCTGGTTCAATCCCTAAGACCAAAGAAAGAAAGAAAAGAAGAAGGAGAAGGAGAGGAAGAGAAAGAAGGAGGAGGAGGAAAAGGAGAAGAGGAGGAGGAGGAGGAGGAGGAGGAGGAGGAGGAGGAAGGAGAAAAAGAAGAAGATGACAACGAGGATGATGGCGGCAGTGACGACGATGACCCCGACGTGGCCTTAGGAGAACAGACAACCAGACTCTGAGTCGTAAGACCTATGAAGCTCTTAGCAGAAAGCGGGAATTCAGGGCATAGGTGACATGGTGGTGGCAGCCACAGCAAGTAGAATTGGTGAGAAGGCCCCTGGGCTGCGGAGGAAAGTAGAGGTGAAGCAGGAAACAGGTCCTTATAGGAGGAGGGCGTAGAAGGGCCCAGCAGGGACACAGCACCTGGGACTCTCCAGATCATCACTCCTTGACAACTGGCCCTGGCCTTCCATGCTGGGGAGGCCACACCGAGCCTGTCCTGGAGTCCCCTGGGGAGTGCTCTGAGGAGGAGCAACTGGGCTGAGTGGTAAGGAGTGTGGCCCTCTGTGTGATGGAATTTGTCACCCACACTGCGGATTGGCACCTCTGACATGCTAAAAAGTTGCTATGTCCCCAAATGTCTCACTACCGGAGAACCTAGGTGTCTTTTGGAGACATATGATCAATAAACCTGTGAGGTCCATCTGTCCTTGGCTGCCCACCTGGAAGACAGGGCTTAGGAAAATAAACAACACAGATATGGCTCTGGGCCTAGCTGTGGTGGGGAAGAGTCCCCCAGCGGCCCATGTTCTAAGACTCCAGTCCCCAACCTGGGGCGCTATTGGAGGTGATAGAGACTTCAGGAAGTAGAACCTAGGGGGAGGTCATTTGGGTCATTGCCCTCAAAGAGCATCATGGGATACCAGGGTCTCTTGCACTCTCTCTTTGCTTCCTGGCCATCGTGAAGTGAGCAGCTTCCTTCACCATGTGTCCCCACCATGATGCACTGACCTATCTGAGGCCCAAAGGCAACAAGACCAACTGACCAGAAACTGGAACCTCTGAAACCATGAGCCTAAATAAACCTTTCCTCTTTTAAAGTTGATAATCTCATGGGATTTTGTTACAGTAAGGGAAAGCTAACAATGCATAGATATATGTGATTTCTGTACCATACACTTGAGCAGATCCATCCGTCAATAACTAGGTCATTTGTTCTGGGATCCATGCCCTTTTATGGAACACAATCACTCTAAGTACTTCTGGTGAAAAATTTAAAAAAAAGATTAATAGTGGGCTCCCTGGCTCTTTTACCCCATTTGACACCACCCCTAGTTCTTAAGACATTTCTGGGTAATATGGGAGCTATCCCACACCCAACTTCCTGTCTGGCCAGGCTCCCAACTCATTCCTTGGCCATGCTTTTGTTCTGCTGCTGAGGGCTATGGGTCAGGCAGTAGCTTCTGGTTTGGACAGGACATTTTGTCCATCCTCTTTTCTTGAGCATAGGGATGGGACTGAGGGTGTCACCAAAAGCCCCGTCCAGCCATAGTATTTAATGGATGTGCCTGGTTGATGTGGTCTGTCTCACTAGACGAATGTTCAAGTGTTATTTCCCACAGAAGATGAATCCTCAGCCAACCGACCCCTCCCGTGGCTTGGACCTGTGTGCTGACAGCACTCTGCACCATAAATTGCTGTTGCTTTTGAGCCTAGCTATTTATTGTCTCTGTTCTTTTTTTTTCTTTTCATATATTAGCTAGCATTGCTGTGTACTTGGAAAAAGGATGCTCTGAAGCATGAATCCCTGTGCCGTCTTGAAAAGGAGACTTTCAGTAAAGGCTTAATTCTTTATTAATATTTTTTTCCTAATTATAAGGATGATGGATATTCATTGTGGAAAGTCTGAGAAGCTGAAAATTATAAATCCCATAGCTCTGAGATAACTACTGTTAATATTTTAGCATATTTCTTTTAATCCTTTGCCTTTAAAAATGCATACACACGCACACTTACAAAATTGATTCATCCTGTACCTTCAGTTTGGTTTCCTGCCTTTATCACCAATTATTGTTTTCTGTGTATTCTAAATACAATATCTACTAACTGTAGAAAATTCATCAAACACAGAAGAGAGGTCTACCTTTTCTCATTTCATTATCCAAAGGTAACCACTGAGAAAATTCGAGAATTTCATTTTGTATGTTTAAAAAATTTGTATCGTAAGGCATGTAAATTTTGTATAATTTTTCACTTAATTTTTCCAGATCATCAAAATATGGTTTGCAGTGTCTATATGGCTCTAATTTTGTGGATTTTTCTTCTTAAATAAAATTCACAGTATATAAC